CCCCACTCAATCAATGATGAATCCTCTCACCACCCCTGTACCTCAGACCGTACCCCAGTTCTGTATGCATAAATAAATATCTCTAAAAATATTTTGATCCTAATTTTGTGAACATATTTTAAACATTAGCTACTTTATGAAATCTATCAAAGGGTATATGAAAATTCAACAAGTTCTAAATCTAATGGGCAGTTTGCTAGGTTGGAGGTGAAGGAACACACACAATAGCACCCATTTAAAGAAGTAAAATGACAGTTAAATGTCCATGCAGTAGTCCATGCATCAGAATAACATCATGGCAGCAGGGGAAAAAACTGGCAAACTCTTTAGCATGTATGATGTGTTGCTATTCTCATTGCTTACATACTTAAACAAACAGAAAAACTCCTCAATGAATTTACTGTTACCTGTACAGACATCATATTGACTGAAGAATGTCACCATCTTCAATAAGTCCTGACAACCCACTGTGTACTACTGGAGACCATTCCCATGCTACGGATACATGACTGAATTCCTACATCCAGTCATCATTTCACGGGACTTCATTTTGAATAGGAAAAGTTTGAGAAAAAAGTACCAAAAGAAGATTTGATTTTAGGCAAATCAAAATATTTCTAAAGAGGGGGCGACATAATTCAATGGTGGGGGGTAGTTAAGTATTTATATTCTTAATAACCAACAATAATAGTCATATTTGAGTTATAATTAATATAGGCATCATCTAATTTCACTATTTAGCTAAAAGAAATGAAAAATAACAGGCCTAGTTGCATATTAATTAGATCTTTATCAAAATCTTCTGGACAAAAAAAAAAAAACAACTTCTGGACACTTATGCTTGGATTTCACATTTACAGGATTGAGCAAGATGAAAGTGGACTTATCACAAGCCTACATGGCATATTATTTCAAAGCATGAAGTTTGAGGCCAGAGTTCTGAGTTGAGTTGTGTGACTTTGGACAAATTAATTTAACCTCTTAGCATTTTGGCTTCTTCATCTCAAAAAAATCAATAATCATTCCAAAATTTTCCCTTTTTTGAGAGTTAAGGAAATAATACATGCCCAGTTCTTAACTTGGGTTCTTACACATAATACATTCTCAAAATATATCTGATTGTCAGCATTAAGTTATGCTAGTTTTTCTTCATTATTGTTTGTCTTGACCTTTGTGCTCTGGGAGATTGAATTCTTTTTGAATATGGCCAGTGGGAGGGCTCAGCAAGACATTACAGGGTGAGAGGAAAAGGAAAGGTATTTATTTCCCCTACTCTCATCCAGCTAGAAATACGTCAATTTGGAGCTGGCTACAATCCTCTTCCTATGACCAGAGCTCCTTCCCATGGCCTCCCTCCCAGAGCCAGTGTTCACAGCCAAGACTAGGTATGGGAATGACTTTTCTTTCCACTGCTAATTCTCAATATGCACTCACTTCAATATATTTGGTCACTCCTTTAAATGCCTCTGCACTAAGTCTCTTTATTTAACTTTCTTCAGTTAAATTCTTTTTATGTGCCATTATTGTTTTCTGATGAGATTCTAATATACATAAAATAACAAGAACTTCATTTGGGCATAACAAAGGGTATCTTCCTTGATGAATTGTTTTTAAAAACAGATACAATACAGTTCTAAATCTAATGGGAAGTTTACTGGGATGTTGATAGTTTGTTGTTATGATGTCAAGCCAGTTTTGAAAGCTGGAGAGTGTTTGTTTAACAAGCAGGGGGTAGTGAAAAGGAAGGGCAGAACACTTTTCTGGACGCATGAAACAAGATCACACCCACAGTAGCAAAGTGAGTGTGAGGATTACGGGAAAGGAAATGTGACTGGCTATCATGGGAAGTTTATATTTTGGGGCTTTCGAAAGCAGAATAATATGTCTATGTCCTAATTTGCGATTATGTTACCTTTTATGGTAAAGACACTTGTCAGATGTGATTAAATTGAAGATCTTGAGATGCAGAAAACATCCTGGATTATCCAGGTGGTAGACTCAATGTAATTAGAAGGATCCTTAGAAAGAGACTAGTCAGACTAATAGATGTGATGATGAAGTTGGATTATAAAAAAAGATTTGAAGATTTGCATGATGGAGCCACAAACCAAGAAATGCAGGTGGCCTCTTGGAGCTGCAAAAGGCTAAGAAATGGCTTATTCCCAAAGCCTCCAGAAAACACCTGCTGACACCTTAATTTTAGTCTCGTCAGACTTTTGACCAACAGATCTGTACAATTGGAAATTTATCTTATTTCAGACAAATACATTTGTGGCAGTTTGTTACAACAGCAGTAGTAAACTGCTGTGGTAGAGTGAAGAAGTAAAGGGTAACAGTACAAACCCTGAATGGTCAGTGAAGAATTTTGTATTTAATCTGAAAGATAGCAAAGAGCCATCAACGATTTTTGACTGAAGATAAAGATGTAGTGAAAATTGTGTACTAGAGAATGAACAAGTGGTTGGGTTCAAAATAGACATGGAAAAATGAACTCTACAGTGGTGAGCATGGGTGGATATGGTGATGAGACCATAGGAAGGTGTGGACTCTATGAAATAAAGAATTTCCAAGGAAACTAACAGAATCTTGATTCTGAGACAGTAACATTTAAAATTTTAAATTTCAATATAATTGCACAGCATAAGTAGATACATACCTATACACAAGGTGTATTTCTACCCCAACAGTTGTCAAAAACCCACAGTATGCAACTTGTGACTAAAAAAATACACACATATGAAAATATAACTTACCAACCTCTTTTTTAAAGTTTCATTCTTATTTTTACAAAGGATATGTGTTTTTTTTTTTAACCTTTTCAGTATTAGTGTCTGTTGATTTGGTAGAATGAAAAAGTTACAATTAAATATTAGCAATCTATACAGATTTTTCACTGCAACAAGCAACAACGACAAAAGTATGCAAACAACCTTCAAAAAACTTAGAGTTCAAATATGTGTAAAGGGTAATAACAGTAGCTGATAAGTTAAATCATTCATTGGCTATAAAGCTGTTCAGAACTGACCACTGTTTGGATTATTGGACATTTCCTGAGTAGTGAAAACGTTTAGAAGAAAAGCCAGAAGCTCATTATTAATTATTTTTATGCCACCTTACAGTGAAAAAATTTTGCTGCTCATAATGCATTCTAAATGATCTTCATAATAGTGCTTAACAGTGTGCAGAACAGTGCATAACAATGTTTGGTCATCTATCTAACCCAAGTTAAACTGGCTGGATCATATCATTTTTATGGTAAAATATTAAATTAATGAGTTCTAACAAGTATAACAGCAGTAGAAACACTGAACAAATGAATATTGTCGACATACTGAAGTCAGTCATTAATTGAACCATTAACCAGATGATTTGTTTTCACACAGATTCACTCATTTGCCTTCTTTCCTTCTCCATTGCAACTTCCTCCCCCTTAACTGGTAAAAAAAAAAAAAAAAATTCTGACCTTGGGTTAATAATTTGGAAAACCTTAAAAAAAATGCTATGATTCAGCCTTTTTCTAAAGCGGATATAACTTTGAATCTCTAATCTAATCTAATATTTTTATGTCCTTTCTTTAAAAATACCGAACTAAGCGAAATTGACACGATCACATTTTGTATTTTAAAAGGTATTTAGAGTAAATACTCGCTATTCCTCAATTTCAAAAATACTTTCTCCTGGGTGCTCATAGAGGAATATTATTTCGGGAAGGGACAGTGTGAGCTTGGTACTCTTGCGTAGTCTGGAACACAAAGATCGTCAGTACTTGACAGTAAGAAAAAACCAACTCTAGAACAAACTGAGGGTAAGAACTCAGCCTATAAATCAGGCGCCCTTGAGTTAATTCCCTCCGAAGAAGGGATGGAGTGGAGGGGAGGAGGCATTCACCAAGTCCTAAAATTCACTGCTTTTTGTCAAAACAACTTTAATTGGAAAAGTAGATTCAACCTTATAAAGTTTTCAGCTGAACTCTCTTGTGCCGTTGCAATGGTGGAGGGGGTTGAAACACATCAAAACTAATTCCTACCAAAATCAAAGCACAGAGCCTTTTACCTTTACTCCAACCTGCCCCTTCTACCTGGAGCGCGAGAAAGCGGATCTGCGCCCCACTGCACTCTGGGCCACAACATCGCGCACCTTCCTCTCTCCCCACTGAAACCCCCAACCGCGCGCAGAGGATGCTCAGAGAAAAGCGGGGTCTCTCACCCGTGAAGACCCAGCAGTAGGCGACAGCGACCCCTGGCCTGGCGCGGCTTGGTGGAGCCATGGTCGGAGAAGGCGCAGCGCCTGCGGACGCGCTGGATCCGAGGGCTGGAGCTGGCAGGGCGCGGTAGCCTAGTGCTCTCTGGTCACTCCGCCGGCCGCTCCGGGAGGCAGTCTCTGGCCCTTGTTAGCCGCGGCCCCCCAAAGCTGCAGAGTGATTTCCTGTGTTTTAGACAAATGCCTTTAAGTTCTCTCCACGCGTTTCATATCCCAGAAGGATTGCCACATAGCCCCCGCTTTGCGCTCCTGGTCTCTGAAATCCCACTGGCAGCCTCCCAGGGTCTGCTGGAGACATGGACAAATAAAGCAAGCTTCGCGGGCCCCTGTTTAGGCTAAAGTCCACGAGCTGCAAAACAAACCTTAAAGGGACATCTGCCTTTCATTGAGAGGGTGAGCCCCCTCTCCCTGCCAACTCCCTAAGGTGATAGGAAGGCGGGAGAAGGGAGGACCTTCTGGAGGGTGTCGCCAGCCCAGTGGCTCCGCCTTCACACCCCTTACTTCTCTCGGGTCTCGCCTGGAGGTCACTTAGCAAGTGCCAGGGCTCTTAAGCCCTCTGGGGGAGGCTGCTTTCCAGGGTCCGATTGCGCAGAAAGGATCAGACCTTCTGTCTAAGTGAGTGGATGTTTCTTTTTCTGAAGACACTTGAACTTCGCTGTGGCGTCACTAGGGGGGAGTGGGGAGAGGGGTCGCATCCACCCTGTCAAGCTCCATTTAGGGTTTTCCTTTCTCTGTGAAGGGTATGCTTCATTAATTGAGATTCGTGCAGGGTAAGCCAAAGAAAAAGAGAAATAAGTTTGGAAGAAAAAGAAAGAAAGAAAGAAAAAGGTGCAAGAGGGAAAGGCAGGGAGGAAAACCATTTCCTTAAAAGTGGAATGTGTGTGGGCTATGTTGTTTAAGCTGAATTAGGATGTTTGTACATGAGAACTGATTCTAATAAAGAACTCAGAACACTGTTTTAGCTCCTCTTGCTACAATCTTTGTAAGAGTGTATTTATATATATATTTACAGCATTCCTCATTTTGTACATTTTTTGTTATATCCTTATTACTCTGTCTCCTACCACTCCCGCTACTCTAGGAACTGAGAATTGGGAAATTAAGTTGACTGGTGAAAATGCTGGGTTTTGGTGCCCCTCCCTGAGATGAAGCCAGAAGTGCCTAGGGAATTGCAGTGTTTCCCGAGTCTGGTAAGCGGCCTCCCTGAATGGAATCACAGGCACATGTAAACTTCACTGCATACTTGCTATTTTTAAAGCAGCTGTGTCTTGATGGAAGAAGCCAATGAGTGGATTTGTGTACACAGGTGGTGAAGAGAATTCATTTGATTCAAGTCAATAAAATTCAGTGAAATGCAGTAAGTAGCTAATTGAGTATCTCAGTATGGTAGGCGGAGGGCTAGACAGAGCAAGAGTGCCACCCAAAGGAGAACCCACCGCCTGCTGTGTAACACAGGTGCATAACACAGGTAACCCGATGGAAGGGCGGGGAAAGCCCCTAAGCTTGGTTGTATTAGATCGCCAAAGAGAAGATTGCAGGGAATAGAAGCTGGAGAAGACAAAAGTTGAAGTGTAAACATCTGGGAGGCAGAGTTAAGAGAGAAGTTTTCAACTCTTAATAACATGATCCATCAGCCAAGGAATTCCTCTTCAAATTTGTGTACTTGAGCTGGGTGCACATTTAGTAAACATATTAACAATTTTTCCCCTTGTTTAAATTTTCAAATTTTTAATTCTTTAATTCTATCTTCAAAACTGAGTAAGTAAATATCTAGTGAATTTGCACTGTGTTAAATCACAGTTCAATCCCATTAAACATTACTCAGAAATTACTTTGGCTTCTTTGCATGTGTTTAGCTCTCTGATGTCCCAGCTTGGTTTTCCCATCTCTCCCATCTTTATTAACTTGCTATCAGCAACCTGCCTCTTACTGTTCCACTTTTGGGAAGGCTTTGCCTGGAATGATTTCCCTGTGTCCATGTCATCTCCCTGTCCATAGAGTGAATTGTGTCTTATACCTTTCAGTGTGAACCATAAACACTGCATGATAATTAGTAAGTACATTTAAAAATCACAATAAGGGCCCTCCTTGGTGGCTCAGTGGTTTAAAGCACAGCATGATGAAGCTATCCACAGCTACTGCAGCATGAGTTCAATCCCCAGCTAGGGGATGACCCACATGGCTCAGCAGTTCTCTCCTATCCCTCCTGCTGCTCCCCTCATCAGTGTATTTCAGTACATCTGTCAGTCCTGCTCCCTAGTCCATCTCTGTTGATCTTCTTACCCCCTGCACCTCTGGCCTGTACCCCAGTTCTTATATGCATAAACAAAGAAATCTTAAAATTATATTAAAAAATTGGGCTTTCCCTGGTGACACAGCAGGTTAAAGCACAGCACTAAGAAGCTAAAACCACTTCAGCATAAGTTCGATCCCCAGTCCTGGAGGTGACCCACATGGCATGGCAGACCTCTCCTGACCTGCCCACTGCTCCCCTCAGCAGTGTACTTCGTCCATCTGCCTGTTCTGCTGCTCCCTCTCTCTCTGGTGAATCCTCTCACCGCCCCTGCACCTCTGGCCTGTACCCCAGTTCTGTATGCATAAATAAATAAATCTTTAAAAAACATATATATATATATATATACACATACATACATACATTATCTATCTATCTATATCTATATATCTATATCTATATATGTGTGTATATATATATATATGGGCCCTCCCTGGTGGCAAAGTAGGGTAAAGCACAGCTCTAAGAAGCTAAAGCCACTTCAGCATGAGTTCAATGCCCGCCTGCCAGGGAGGTGACCCACATCGCGTGGCAGACCTCTCCTGACCTGCCCTCTGCTCCCCTCAGTAGTGTACTTTGTTAGTCAGCATGTTCTGCTCCCTGCTCTGTCTCTGGTAAAGCCTCTCACCGCCCCTGCATCTCTGGCCTGTACCCCAATTCTGTATGCATAAATAAATAAATCTTAAAAAGAAAAAAATATATATTTTTTTTAAAAATCACAATAAATACTTGCCAAACTATTTCTCCAAATATTCAGTTTTCAGAGACAGTTAAGTGAGTGTATATGTGTACATGTCTATATATATATGTATATACATGTATGAGAAAATTTTAATAAATTGAACTAGAAAAAATTAAAGAGAAATTATAAAATTACATTCAATTGAAATATAATAGGGTTAAAATATGATAAGATCAGGCTATCACTGTAAATTTTACCTTCTTTTGTATTAAGAAATATTTTGAATTCTAACTTTTTAAAAATTTCTGCTAAATCTTACAAACAGGTGTTAGTAACCACCACTACCACTGCTGTGGTTAAAGTTAATTTTCATATGTATTTTGAATATTTGGCAATATTTATTGATCTTCGTGTAAAATCAATGCAAATGTAGAGATTGAGATAAAAGCTCTTGCTGATGTATGCTATTTAGAATAAGTGCTTATTTTCTGAACTTTAGTAAGTCTAAACACAAGCCAATGCCAGTTCAGCTATTTTGTTAACCATTCTTATACTGATGGATTAGAAGCCATGCTATTGCATAAAGTGAAGCCAAAAGTAAATTAAAAACTAGGCTAACAAACCAGTAATTAGCTGAGGTCATATGATGGCAAAAATTAAGCTCTATACTTTTCAGCATATACTTTTCTATTATAAGTGAGATCTAATGTAATCAAATCTCTTTTAGGATTTGGAAATATGAGTGAAAATTAAAAGTACAGTATAGGCAAGCATTGATTTATAGTGGTTTACATCTAACATTTATATAATTATAGAATGTAATGCTACTTCAATTAAAACTTTAAAAGTAAATGTCTTCCTTCCTCCCTATAAAAAATAACAAGTATACTAATAGAAAGGGGGCATGATTAAGAATTTGGAAAGCAGAGATTACAAAGTAAGGCAAAGGTGATTGGGATCATTGACCAGTACTCCCTGAACAAAAACCATATATTCTGTATCCAAACCATATGGCCTGTATTCTCCCTGGAGGTGTTCTGCTTTATGCTGTAAATGACTGGAATAAGCAAGATTTTGGAGTGATCCTGCTTGGACTGCAATCCTGGAACCACCATGCAATAGTTTTCCTGTGTGAGCCAGGAAAACTGACTTAACTTCTCTAAGCCTCAGTTTTCTCATATGTAAAATGGGGATGATAATACTGTTTCTCTCTGAAGATTGTTTGAAGATTAAATGACATAAACAAAATCACTTGGCACAATGGCCCTATTAAAATGAGTGCTTAGGCCCTCCCTGGTGGCGCAGCGGGTTAAAGCACAGCACTGAGAATCTGAAGCCACTTCCGCATGAGTTCGATTCCCGCCTGCCTCCTGCCCCGGAGGAGACCACATGGTGAGCCAGACCTCTCCTGACCCGCCCACTGCTTCCCTCAGCAGTGTACTTCGTAGATCTGCCTGTTCTGCTCCCCACTGTCTCTGGTGAAGCCTCTCACCGCCCCTGAACCTCTGGCCTGTACCCCAGTTCTGTATGAATAAATAAATAAATCTTTAAAAAAAAATGAGTGCTTAACAGAAATTTATTATTTTTTTCCTCAGTAGTAGGAGAATTAATGTCAGATACACAATGGAATATGGGGGAGGACAGGTGTGGGGGGCAAGTCCTATAGGAAGTGATAAATAAATATATTTCCTTCACTCATCTTCCTTCCTACTCCTCTTCATCCTTTTTGTGAGGCTGACTACACTTTTTTCCAGTAAGGGACTGGCCTTCAGGAGGTGAAAGGAGACTGAGGCTGAGGTATATGGAAAGTGATCTAACTTGATGAAGGCCACAAAGAGAACTTGAATATTTGACTAAAACATCAGCAACTCCCACTATTGTTTCTAGACACCTCACTTTTAGAATATTTACTTCTAATTAGGAAATTCTCTTGACTATATTCCTATAAAATGGGTAATCATTAAGATACCAGAACACCTGGTATAACATCAAGGATTTGCTTTTCAAATTATTTAGCTGTCAAAGGGCTTAAACAAACAAAAAAGAACAAGAGGAA